TTGTAACTAAATAACAATTTTACAGCCAGAAGAGGGATGGAAAATGGAGAAGCCACAGTGCCAGAGATGTTCAAGCCTACTCAAGCCTGATTATCACTTTGCAGTGAAATGTGAAATACAGAAACAAAAAATTAAGTGTTTGTTCAATGTCTTAGGCCCAATGGAGAGTGGCTTATAACATGCAAACCCATATTTTTTTTCAATTTCAAACTGAGTTCCTATGAAGGAAGAAGTATTCTTAAGCACTTCTTTACCAAAATGCTACTCACAGTTCCTATTCCTCATCCCTGTGTTCAATGTGGGGAATTCGTTTTCTCAGTCTGTATGCATTGCTCCCTTCTGCTTCCTAAGAAGACGCCTGAAAGTTTACCTGGCCCAGAAATGGCAAAGGACAAGTTGAGCAACAATCATCAGCACTTATGTGATTTTATTTAGTGGAGGAAATAATTCATCATAAATTATCTTGAAGGTGTGTTCGAGCACTGGCTTTCACAAATAAAACTGAAGAAAACCCTTGACAACTCACACATATTTACTTCTATTTAGTTACTCATTTGGGTTTTTTTCCATAAGCAGTTATGCTGAAGTTCTTTTGTGAAACATTTCTACATAAAAATGGAAACATCCCTGCCTGCCCGCAGACATTACCACTCTTCCCATGACCAGAAGTGTATTACACTGAGTCCTACTGGCACTCAAGAATCACTTGAATTGTATTATCAAAATTGCTCACTAAAGTTTCATAATGGCTGAGCTAATTTACCAGCTTCCTGCTGCTATTCCACCCACACATTTCTGAATGTATGCTGCATTTTTAAATACTTTAATCTCTTGCATTCGTGAACTGAGTCTACACTGAAAATAAATTTTAGAAAACAACACCAACAAATTAATGCCTCATACTCAAGAGAATACACAGATCCCATTTAGAGTATGGAAAGTTTCTAAAGTTGGTGTATCATGGCTAAGTCAAGAACAAAAAGGGGCTTTAAACATCCTTATTTTCACTCACATTGCCCAAAGAAATTCAGTCAGTTCAGTTTGCAAACTGGACAGTGTGAATCACCAGTGTGAGTATAATACATCTGAACACAAAAGCTCAAAAGCTCACAATTGTGAAGGGACAATTACTGCATCAAGGTGATTTATGAATTGCTAAGAATTGTTTTTAACACCATAAAATAAATACGCAGGGAAATACAACTTGTATAATGCTGATATTTACTTTAAAAATGTAATCAGGATGAAAATGAATCCAAACCTTGCACATTTCTCTGCTGTACTGGACTCTGTGTCATACATACAAAAAGTTCAAACTTATTTCCCATACATTCAATATTCCATTGCAGCTCCAATCCACAGTGTCCTCCACTTTCCCAGGTTTGACAGGACCTTCTGCTGTGAACCTGAGCCTGCTTTTGTCAGCAGCCCAGCAATGAACACAGAGAGAAACAACTCAAAATCAGACACAAGTTTTACGGAGCAGAAAACAGTTTAAGAAGAGAGGGGTGTGCTCAGACTTGATCCACAGGGAAAGCATATCCACAAATGCGTTTTTGAGAACAGTTGAGGGGTGTTCTCCCTTCCACTAAGGAAGAAGGGGAAGACAGTTCCACTAAGGGGAAGACAGTTTTCTCTCTTGCTATGTGTGCAAATTCAAAAGTGGAGTTAGGTAATAGTAGAGTTACTTCTACTTCAGTTTGTAACAATCAGTTTTTGACAGTCTTTGAGAGCAGGAAGTGAAAAGAAATGGCAAATTCATCCAGTAAGTTTTTTATAATTCTCTTGGATCGGATTTTAAAAAAATAATTTATAGTTTTAATTCTTTTTAGAAGAAAAATATGACTTAACACATGTAGGTAACCAGTCTTTAAGTTAACAGTATTAAAAAAACCCTACCACAAACAGAAAGTATAGTTCTCACAATTGGCCCCCTGGTTATAAAGTATGCATGGCTACAGGCAACTCTTTAAGCAAAGTTAGAGATAGAATCAAGGATAAAGTGTAAGGAGACAAGCATCTAAAGCACAGATGTTTTCAGCCATGTGCTGATGCCCTTTCTTTCTTTCCATGGTGAACACAAACCATCGTCAAACTCTTTTTCATTGTTTATGTGACATTGTTAGAGGAACCTGAAATGGCTGACAGATTTAAATGTCAGAGTTCTCTTTAAAACCTGAGATCTGCTTGGCAATGCTTCGGGAAGGAGATCACTGCCACAGACAAGCATATTTATTCAAAATAAACATAATTAATTAAATTCAAATGTTTGTCTTTACAGTAAGAAGGAATCCAAAGAAATCACATCTCACCATTTCTAACTCTGTCAATTACACCATTAAATACAACACATGAAGTTTGTAACCTCTCAGTAAAATGATCAAGTATTCATAAAAAAAAACAACCCAACCATACAAATCAAGAGAAAAAACACCCTAAAACAAAACCCATAAACAAATTAAAAAGACAGTTAACACAGGGTTTCAAGCAGAGGAAGCATTTTTAAACTTTGTAAATATGGAAACATCAACAGTGCCCTTAGTTACATAGGTAATAGATTTATATATATAATCTAATCCAGATTTAATAATTTAAAAAATATATTTAAGTCTTCCTCTTACAAGACAAGAAAGAAATTTGGCTCAAGTCCAAGACCTGCCTACATAGGATGACTTTTCAGCTAAGTTCTCTTATCACAGACTTTTGGTCCATGGTCATTAACCAGCTCAAGGGATCCCACTGATTTTTTGGGTAATACATCATTGTCCCTATGACATATGTCACCTTTGTTCCAAATATAGAGGAAAAAAATTCTCACGCACTGTCTGCAGTGACAATGATAGAGATACATTAATCTCCCCTGCTTCTTGATAGAGCAGAAACTCCTGTTTTCCCTTAATCAATTCATCTGCCTCAGCATTTTCAGGAAAGCACTTAGAGTAACTTCAATAGTTTGGACACAGAACTATTTTGAACTCTTCATCTGGGTCAAGAGATGGGCGAACACATAACAGACGCTTGCAACCTGACTTACTTCAAAAACACAGTAGGGTGGAAAGAGTTGCCTCACCTCCTCATCACCTGTGGCTGTGGGTAGTGGCTCATTCCAGAATGTCTGATTTTCCCAAACCCAGAGCAGTGTTGGGGTGGACACACAGCCCTCCCTCGGGACACCACGCGTGTCCCAGAACAGTGAGCTGGCAGCTGGAGCCCTCTGAGTCCCTGCAGCGCAGCTGGGCTGGGCCTGAGCTCGGCTTGGCAGAGGCCAAGGACAACAACCTGACACACAGCTTTCCTCACAGATGAAGGACAACAACCTGACACACAGCTTTCCTCAGAGATGAAGGACAGGAATCTGACACACAGCTTTCCTCACAGATGAAGGACAGGAATCTGACACGCAGCTTTCCTCACAGATGAAGTCACCTGCTGTAACATAAATGTGCCTCCTCCCAGTTAACTTTACAGTGACAGAAAGGGTCCTCCAAAGTTCCTCCTGTGTTTGTTAGTTACTGAAAGAAAAGAATGCTGGCAGAGCCATTTTTGCCTTCACATGCATAGAAACAGTAAATTTGCAACCAGCCCATCTCATAGCACACTATCACAATCAGCCTCTTTTTCTTCACCACTGTATTTTATTTAAAATTACTTAGTTTTCAGAGCAACCAAACCAAATAACTCTCTCTTAGAAAGAAGTATGTTACAGCTAAGCAGATTCTCAAGCAGTTGACACTTACTGGCCATTTGCATACCCCAGAATTTATTTGTATCCCGTCTCTAAAGAAGTATTTACTTGAAAGGCAGTCTAAAAGATTTGGCCCACGTGGTCACAAGGAAATCAATGGCAGTCAAGAACAGAATAAATCTAAAGAGCCCTTGCTCTACCAACTAAAAATATGAAGTTTAGACAAAAATACAAAATTTGGAATGTTGCACTGTCACAGCTCTTTCATAAATTTAACACTTATGAATCTGGAAAAGAATTTTTACAAAATAAAAAAGTAACATTGAGGCTTTAAGATGGCTCAGATTATTTGAGAACAGTAGGAAACTACAAACTTTAAAAAAATCCCAAAGGACTTAATCTAAAAGCACCACTGCCAGAAATGTGGCATTTGGAAAAACAATGGTTCAGTGCAAATACTGGTAAGAAATGGAAAGATAAACACTCCAACCAACAGACAGTACTGTCTTGTTAGTGTCTGCTTCTGCCACCAGGTGCACTGAAAAGGAACCTTCTCATTTTATATTATGTTTCTCTTTAAATGTATTCTCACAAAACAAAAATTTTGGACAAAAACAGACCTAAAAGCCTGCTTTTATATTGCTAGTTTTTGAGAAAAGCAAAACACCTAATGACTGACTGTTCAACTAAACCCGTATCACAAAATCAAAACAGATAAATAATGTGTACCTTTTTATTTCTACACATGGAATTTCAGACCACTTTTCTCATATTATCCAAATGGGAAGTTCTCCTACTGTACACATTATAGAAAGCAAGAGAGGCAAATGTGGCTTCCCTGCCTAAAAGAAGCTGCTTTTCATGGACATGGCAAGCCAGTTCACAGCCACTTGCACACAAACACAGCCATAGGTAAACACAGTAGTCTGAATTCAACTCCACTGAGTAGCTTACATGTAAACAGAACCTTCTGAATCAAAACTAGCTTTAAAACAAACTCCAAAAACTCAAACAAAAAACCACCACAATACATGGTTTCATGTCATGCCAAAAGCTCTATCTTTGATAGATTCATTTTGATGCATAAAGAAAAAAATGGAAAAGCTGGAATGTGGTAAATGCAGAATTCTGCATGTCTGTTTCTAGTGCCAAGAATTAATTACAGCCTAAAATCCTCATGAGTAACGGTAAATGGCAGTAGGAGAAATATTAAAGTTCCTTTAATATTTCACTACACTGCTGTTTAGAAGGTATATGTGTTGAAATGGTGTCCCAGAACTATGTGTATGTTGACTTCATATAAAAACTCACCACATTTACAACCATATTTCAATTTAATTATTGTACACAGGTTAACAAAAACACTGGGTTTAACGAAAACAATATTCAGAATGGTACAACACGTCTTCATCTTCTCCAGGAAATAATATTACAAGTGATCATCTTAGGACAATTTAGCCACACTAGCAACAGGAGTTCTGTTAAAATGCAACTGTGGTCTACTAAGCCACTTATTTTAGCACTACAGAGTATTTTGAAGTTAAGAGTCCTACAGCCAAGGCTTAAAAATCATTTAAGATTCAAACCTCAAAATGTCTTACAGTCAAAATGACAGTATTCTTAAAAAACCACAACAAAATAACCCCAAAACGATTAATTAAAAGGCTTCTGTATTTAGTTTTATCTTCTTCATGGCATTCTCTATTCATGTAGTTGCTTGTATCATTGGTAATACGGTCTATATCTGGCTTGATCAGGGTGATGTGGTCCAGGAAGGGGGGCCTGAGTAGGAGGCCCTTGCATTCTTGGAGGTGGAGGCGGCCCCCTTGGAGCTGGCCATATCCCTGGACTCATTCCCCCAGGTTGTGTGAAAGGGGGACTAAGAGTTCCTTGATCTTCACTGAACTGTGGCAAAGAGTTGGGATTATAGTGATGGGGAGGGGGAGCGTTTACATTTACAGGCGGGCCCCCATGCTGAGGAGGGGGAGGTCCCGGAGGAGGATGGTTCATGTAGGGGGGCATCTGGGCAATGATGTGTCCGGGCGGCGGGGTTATGGGCGGCGGGGCAGAGGTCATGGGGGGCGGCGGGGCCTGGCTGTACACCATGTGGGGGGTGCCTGCCGCCTGCGGAGGGTGCTGCAGCGGGTGGCTGATGGGCGGAGGCGGCGGCGGGGGCGGCGCGTAGTGCTGCTGGGGAGGCATGATGTGATGAGGGTGCGACACCACCGGCTGACCCTGGTACTCGGGATGATGGTGAGCGGGTGCGGGCGCTGGCGGAGGCGGCTCTCGAGCACCTGAACTGGAATCATCCTGGATGGGGACAGTTATTAAGTTGCTGTGTTTCCTGGTTGAGATGCGGAAGGTGTCCTGAGCGACGGGGCGGGGGGGCGGCGGAGCCATGGCCATCTCTGCAGGAGGAGCACGGATGTCCTCGTGGGGCTGGTTGTAGTGCTCGTGCGGCACGTGCTGCAAAGGAGGCGGTGGCATCATGATGTGCTGCTTTGGCGGAATGTGGCTCATGTGATGCTTCTCAGGGGGCATGATGAAACGCTCGGGAATTTCGGCCGGCGGCGGGGCGATAGGAGGATGTACGGGTTCAATGGGAGGACGAGTAACAGGCTTGCCAGCTCTCATGTGACGGTGGTTGATGTGAGCTTGTAAGTCCCTCTGTGACAGGTAAGTTCTCTTGCATCCCTGAACAATGCTACACATGAAGAGAGACCCTCGTACGCACTGCTCAATTCGCTGCACAGGTTCGTTACAGCTAAACAAAAAGAGAATATTGATTTATTGCCATCGCAGGGAGCTCAACATGCATTCTTCCTTGTTAATGTAATTAGCTAAATTAGAACAGACAATTTTGCCCCACTGTAGCAATGAAAGAAACTTCAATGATTTTGAAGTTTACCTAGTTTATAAATATTGAAATGTAACTACGAAAGAACATAAAAATGTCATGAGGTAGAATTTTTAGTAGCATCTCTCAAACAAATTGTTCTGTGCATTAAAATGTAACACGGGTCATTTTCACTAAATAAATCAAACTGCCAATAATTCCTTTTCAAATTACAGCAATAACAGGTTGCCTACCCAAAAACAACAAAGCATCCCAAAACATGGAGTAGGAACTAGAAAGTTCAGAGTACTCTACTGCCTCTGCTAAATGTACATAAATAAGAGTCGTGTTAATAGAGTATCTGAAATAAGATACTTAGGTTACTTTCTTACATCTCCTTTAATAACAAATCTTAAGATAACTTACCCTGGACACATCTTGTCTCCCTTTTTCTCATGTAGTATAGCACAGTCATAGCAGAAAACGTGCTTGCAAGGTATCTAGAAATAAAAAATTGCTGTTAAGACATGGTGTATAAATATCTATGTCATTCTGCAGAATACAGTACAGTTCCTCCCTCCTGCACACAGTTTATAATAATTAAAGTAACTAAGTTAACTATGAGGTAAGCACAGCAGTGGTTAACAATTTACAGTATCTTCACACAGAAACCTTCTAGAACAGTTACGCTGAGTTTGGGGTTTTTTGGGATACTGTAGTTTGGGGTTAAGTGTTGGTAAAAAACACTGGCAGGAGTTTGAGTCTTGCACTATTACCAACACTGAACTTTCACAGAAGCTGCGTATGCAATCTGATTACACTTGTCTTGCTGGCAAGGAAGGGGAGTTTTAAAAGCATTAACTGTCATTAAGTCAGATCCTGAAGCCTGTTACATCACACTTATAAATCTAAATTAATCCCAGGGATTTTTAAAGGTACATAAAAGTGAACAGTGTTTTCTAACTTCACTGGAAGTCTTGAACTGAGATAAAAAGCTTATTTTCAAACCTAAGCGGTGTAAGGTCAAAACCCCAGAACCTGAAGGTTTTTTCCATAGTGATGGTGTTCTGTTTTTTGTCTAACATTTTCAGGCTTACTTTACTGAATCGGGGGGGGTAAAGCAAAATCAGTCAGACAGATGGAACAAAAACACTTGAGCAGTGAAGGTCTCCAGTTGCATCCTGGTACTATTCTGTGTTTAATGAGATGCCTGTTGAAATCAGAAATCTCTAGAAGCCTCATACAGACACAGTAAAACCTCATTTTATCTAAAGGGAAATCATGGCTCGATCTTCCACTGGCAATTTCACTCACCATGCGTCCATACATTTTGATGGGCAATCCACACTTATCACAGAAATGGACAGGTGTATCATCCTTTTCCCCCAGCAAGTTTATCTGGTAGGACAGAGAAGGGGGTGAGAAAACAAACCCCAACATTACTAAAGCTTGTCATTTCAATTATCATCAACATAGCCATTATTTCTGAATTGGTTGAAAAGAAAGCAAAAACGCCACATCAGGAGAAAGAAGAGGATGTAATTTTTAGTCAGACAAAAATAACTGAAAACCTTTTAATTAACAAAGTATCTACCAGGACTATCTGCAGCATGGTATGAAACACAGGCAAAGATCCATGACTTTACCTTATAATCCCAAAAAATGGGTCCAGGAAATCTCCTTTGATTGCCAAACATTTCACCTCCTTTACATTCGTATCGCTCCTCCTTGTTATAATCAAATTCTTCTGTGGAAAGGAGAAAGAGAAGAAAGACACGAGCCAACCACAACACTTTTGTAATTGACACCAGCTGCTATTAAGAGCATGGGTCATTTTTACTGAAATCATCAAAAAATGCCATAGCATTTCCAATCTGTTGAGCCCATTCTACAGAAAGGTAGAACCAAAGTAGTAAGACAGCCTGTTCTGGAAATGGGCACTACTGAAGCCCTACAGTGCAACAGTATTTGGAGATCTGAAACTTGTTTTGTGCTTGGACAGAACCCTGGACTCTTAAAGTCTCTGAGAAAAGTCTGAAACAATGCTGTAGAATAATTCATTTCCCTACTACAGGGAATTTATATGAATTTACCTTCATCACCAGCTTGTGTCTTCGCAGGCATCCTGTTCATATTTCTTGGAGTTCGAGGTGCAGGTTTGGTTTTATTGGTCTGTTTTGAAATTAGCTTTATAGGGATTCTTCTACGGACATCAAGACCACCCAATGATCCTGAACTATTTGTTCCTTGCAAATCATTGTCTGTGAAAGAAAATTTTTAAAAGTATAGGTTTTTAAAATTTATCTAATAGTCTCTAAAGAGGCTAAATATTAAGAGAAATGTTTTAAGAAAAATAATTTTTGCTTAAGACTCATACAACATATCAAAATTTAATCACTACAGATAGGTATCTTCACAGACAATTTATTCCAGAAATCATGTCAAAAAAATGTATTGTGACCAGCAATGAATTTAGGAAGTCTAGTTTAAAAATAAAGCTATTAAAACAACCTAGCTAGTCACACATTTTTCCACAACAGAAACATTAACCTTATAGCTCTTCTCACAGTGTGAAGAGCACTGGAAAGTCAATTTTTTGTACGACCTTGATTACACAGAATTTCTTATGTGAAAAGATAATAAAAAATTTACATAAATTGTAAAAATTAAAGTAGGAAGGGAACCAGTTCATATACTAATGCAACATCTTGACATATCACTTAGAAGTTTATTATAAAGTATCACAAAAAGACTGGTACTTAGGAATATGTAGTTGCATCCTTCCTAAACTGAGAATTACTGTTCCTGGCTATATACAGAGTTCTCCTTAACCAGATTCACATCTAAGTACCAGGGCCAACAAAGCAAAAAACAGCCTGACACATGCATCAGCAGGTACAGGCTCCAAGTGACAGCACAGACCAGGTAATGCAACAAGAAACACCAATGAGGAGGCATAACTCCCTCAGCCTCCAACGAGGTTATCTGAAACCACCCCAGAGCATCTCATTCATATAAAAATGAAGATACAAAAATGAAGTTACATCCTTCACAAACCTTCCCAGCTCACTGGGATTTTAACTGAAAATGCCACAGGTGTTTCACAGCAGGGCACGCTCAGTCTGGAAGGGGAGAGCCCCGAGCAGTTACAGCCCTGCAGCTCCACAGGGCAGGGCACTCCAGCCCTGGAATGACTGCAGAGGCCCCAAAGGACTGCAGTGCAGGATGCTGAAATTAGGCTCCATTAGTGTAATTCTGCACAATGCCTCACCAACTGCTGCCTCTCAATGCCTATAACCACCACAACAAGTGGCACCGTAACAATGCAACAAGTAGAAGGAAAAACAAGAAAAAACAGGATTGCTCTGTTTTTCAGCAGCTACCACCAAAGCTAGGAAATGTGTCAGTTTGAAACTGGGACTGTGCCCTGACAGTCCTGTACCTCCAAATCAAAAGCCCTCGGTTTCCTCAGACAGACCAAACTCCTCTTAGAACTATGGTTTAGTTTCACTCTAAAAGGCAATGTACAAAAAGGCAAAAGCAATAAACCTTGTTTTTACTTCTGGTCATTTATTATTTCTTTCAGCTGTCCAGATGAACCTGCAAACACTCAACTAGGTCATCAGGCCTCCCCAGGGAGTGCTCGACCAAGGCATCAGAGGTAAAGCCACTTGTTTTCCACATGTTGGGAAATTCTGTTTTCTACCAGAATACACAAAACCACAGCACCATAAACCACAGAGTCTCTGCAGCAACTCAGTCCATTTGCAAACAGGGATAACTAGAAAGAATTTTTAAAATCAAAAACCTATTTATTAGTTAATCCAGTGAACTGCCAATGGGTTCTGTCACTCACTCTTCCTCCTTACATCCTTTCAAGCCAGGAATATTTACATGAGTTAGTTGCTTAACTAACCCAAACTAGCAAGTTTATTAGTCACTCATGCTTCATGGAAGGATAATAAATTCCAGTCTGCAGGAGCATAATTTGCGGGATAACGTCCAGAAAAAACTACGACAAACATACCAAACTTGTTGAGACTACTTAAAGAAGCTCTAATTAGAGGTGATGCAGCCTACTGAAATGTCACCTTCATCAACTTATGTTTTATTTTTGCATTTCAAGCTTTATTAAAATTCACAAATACAGCTCAAATACTTTACACAGATAAAGTCATAACTCAATCTTTTGTAAGGAAAAGGAAAAAAACCTCCAAAACCACCCTAGCACAAGGCCCACGTCCATTCATTGATTCACTGCACTACGCCAGCGCATTAACTAGCAAAGGACCACAGCTACGCCAGCGCGCTCACCGGCAAACGACATTTAAACCACGAAGCCGAATTTAAGCACACGAGGAACTTTCCTCTCGGGCCACAAACACGGAATCAGGAAACACATTACGGGCAGCGCTGCCGGGAAACGCGGCGGGCAGAGCGTCTCTCCCCCACCTCCGGGACGCCACGGGCCGCATCCGGCGCTGCCGGGCCGTGGGAGCGGAAGGGCGCGGCCGGAAGCGGCGGGGCGCGGGCGGGGCGCGGCGCTGGCCGGGTCCCAGCCGGGCGCTCCGGGCCGGCCCGGGCGCGGCGGAGCGGGAGCGCTGCAAGCCTGCGGTGCAGAGCCGCCACTCGTTGGGACTGGGAGGCGTCCCCCCGGGTTTTGGGGAAAGGATGGAGTGAAAACGCGTTCAGCAGCCGCGGAGGCCCCGCCGGCCGGCTGCGCGGTGCAGGCGCCAGGCACTGGGGGGATGTGAGGCCGCATCGCGACTCGGCTGCTGTCGGTCAGCCTTCAGCTGCAGCACGGAACGGGCACATTGCTGACACGCCGTACCAGTGATGCAACAGTGGATCTCCAGGGCACTCAGAAGCTTCACAGCAACAGAGTTCACTAGCTCAGGAGAGGACTTGGTGTTAAATTTAGTATTTTGTAATTCCTGTGTAATTCAGTGCGATGCTGAAGAATAGCACTGAAGAAAGGAAAGCAATACAACGAAGTCGTAGGTTTTAAGTAGAAAATGGCCTCGAGCAGTCCTTGCACAACCCTGAAGTACGGGTAACTCTACTCCATGCGCTTCACATTGGTGATTGTCTCACTAAAAGCCTCCCAGGTTGGGATCTTGTGCCCCTACAGACAATGTCTCTCATTATCTTTATAGCCTTAACATTTAAAAGCTACCATTAAAGTCTAACATTTCTTGTCTTACCCGCACAAGGCAGAGGGAACAGGTTTTCCCTTTTGTCTTTGTTGATCCTCAAAACAGACCCAAGGGAAGAGTGACACTGATCCCTTCATAATAGGCCTTATCTCCCCATAATAGGGATTCACAACGAGAATACTTAAAAAACCCAAAACTAAAGAAGAAACCCCCAAACATACAGACACAAGGAGCACATTTTCAGTATGCACAACTTTATTTTCTAGTTAATGGGTACAATTACTTTTCAAATGCAGCTTTTTAAAAGTGTAAAAAAACTTAAAATACATCTCCAAATTTGATATTTGACATGCAACGACAGAACAGGAATACTCAAAATGCATACAAAAATACCACTTCTTCATCCTACTGGAAAAAGATAAGCACATCTAGTTATACTACTTAAAGATATTTTATTTAGTACAAAACTGTAGAGAATTTTAGCTTCATTGCAAAATCCATCATTTTGGTATCCTTAATTTTGATGGATACATGGAAAATTAAGCACATAATCACTGAGAAAGGCATTTGGATGCATTCTGCATACTACCTCTTACTCTTCTATGCCACTGTAGGCTTTGAGAGAAATGCTGTTTTTCAGAAAAAGTTTAATATTTTGTGCTTGTTAAGTTAAGAACAATCATGCCTGGAAGAAATACACGGGCCCAGAATAAGTGCATTTTATCATATTTTATCACAATTAATCCCAGATCAGGTGTCATATTTGGAAAATAACTGGAAGACAACTGTTGAGTATTTCATTGCTTTTTAAATAGCAGACAAGAACTAGAGAAAGTTCAAAAATAATACAATGACATCTCTGTCAAGTAAGAATCTGTACTCAAACTTCACAGTGCAGATGTTACCTTGAGGGGAAAAAAATCACCGCTACCATTTTTTTACCAGCTTTTCTGTAGACTGTGCCCTGCATAACAATTAGCTGAAAGCTCACTTGCCAGGTAGATTATTTTACTTCTTACTTGAAATGTACATCTGTTTCAGAAAAGCAGTACAGCTTCTAAAAAACATGTCACTGGCCTTGTGCACTGGCAACTGTTCCAGCAGTCAGGATAACAGGAGTTGGGGCCACAGCCTGATGGGGATTGAGGACAGTAAGGTGGGCTGGAGTACCAACCTCCTGTGAGAGGCTGGCAAGGGGACAGAAGGAGGACAGGTAGAGTTAAAAGCATGAATTGTCAAACCACAGGCTGGGCTGAAGCATTAGTGCCAATAGAAGTGAGTGGTTCCATCTGAAGAGGGGCAGAGTGGTGTGATTTGCCTCTTGAACTCTTGCCCCATTCTCAGATGGTGGAGATGCCAACCCCACTGACAAAAGGCCCACGTCCATTGTGAATACAATCCTGCTGTTTGCTGGCTTGGACTGGAGCACCAGCATCTCCTAAGTTCAAGTGCCTGTACTGAGAAACTTCACTGTTGAGAAGGCTGAAGTCTGTGCCTTAACAAGAGAATACAGATTTTAGTTTGGTGCCGTTACCTGTTGTGTAAGACACTGTCCAACTGGCCAAAGTTTGTAGGATTTTTTTTTCACTGATGTTAACAGAGTTCACTCGGGTCCTGAAGCCAGAATAATTTATTTAGTGCTTAGCTTTTCCACTGCTACCTGCAGCACAAATCTCTGTGCAGTGTAATGTGAGAAAATTTCTCTGATGTAATCAAGTAAGGAGAATTAAATATACTGAAGGTAATTTTCCACATATTGAACTTAACATTTCCACATGTTGAACTTAAAGGCATTTCTTATGCTTCTGGACATTTCTTACACTTCAGTTTTTATCCGTTTCCTTATAATGCAGGGGTTTTCTCCCATTTAAAAAATAATGTAATGCTAAAAAATCAAGGTAGCAGTCTGTTTTCCTTCAAAATACATTTCTTCATCATGAAAACTAAGAACATTAGTTAAGGATTAAAATTTTTCTGCTCAAATCTTTATCTTTTGTAAATTATTGCACTTGTGCATTATGAACTTTCATATGTAAAAGAACAGCAGCATCAGCAGTTTGATGTAGATTATTAAAAGAAAAAATCTCTATAAAAATATAACTATTCATTAAACAAAAAATACTCCTATATTCCATTTTAAAAAAACCAAATGTCAATACTAGGTCACATTCTGACTTTCTTGCTTACACTCAGTATCAGCCTGTTTTACAGATTTCATTAAGTACCCAGGAACTAAGGTTTTCCTTAATTTATGTTATGATCTGCCTCTT